AGCCCCCTGCCCTGCCTGGGAGCCGAGGGCACCTGGGCAGACAGGGGCGGGCTCCTTAAATTGCCTGCCAAAACCTCGGAAACACTCAGACACAGCTGCATCTACAGACCTGGGAGGCAAAGCCACCTTTTGCAATCTGGGTGAAATAAATATGACTCTGTTTTAAAAGACGAGCCATTCCTGCAGAGCTGTTAGCCCTGACAATTAGGGTTTGATATTGGAAGTGTGGGTGCCCCAAGTCTTTTGGGAGAGCTTAATTACAGCCTCTCGGAAGTGGCTGGCTGCAAGTGGTGTGCATGGCCTGCATCCCGGCAGCTGCAGGAGGATTTTCATCCCACCAAATACTGCTCCGTGGGGTGACTCAGGCCGGGGGGGGTCACAGGAGCACCGATACCCACGCTCCTTTGCCAAACTCACTTTGCCCAGGGGATAGGGAGGGGGGACAACGTCCTTGCCTTGGTGCTGGCCCTTCAGGCTGACTGCACTCTCAAACAGCAAGGGCCCTTTCTGCATTACAAATACTGCGTTGCTGTAAGCTGTGTTCCGTTTCTGTTGAAGACTGCTGCTGCTGCTTCAGAGCTTCACGGGCTACACAGAAAACCTGCTCAGTGAGCACGCCATCCCCCCGGCACAGTCAGTGGGACCCTGCATGTCCGCAGGACTGACGGTGAGGAGGTACTGGTGCAGCATGCTGAAACTGGGGGCCTTCTACCAGCAGCTCCTGGCTGAGGTGGGACATTTGGGGGCCCTGATGCCCCACGAGCTGAGCGTAGGGGTCATGGAAATGGTCCAGTCATGCCCCATGATTTGGACCATGCTGAGGTCACGGTCCTTCTCTGGGATGCCCCGTGACACGCACGGTGGCCACGCCAGATGTGCTCCCAGCTCACGATCCTCCAAGTGCTGACCCATGTGTCAGACAGGACACATCTGTCCCGCACTGTCCCCTCCCGGCCTGAGTCCCTTCCCTCCTCTAACCACCGCTCCCGGCCATGCCGCTGGATCCATCCTCCTCCAGGCCTCCACCAGGATCTCAGGATGGCTGAACTCAGCTGCCTTTATTGCTTGGAAAAATATTCTCCTCCTGCCAACATGCTGCCTCTGCAGCTCTGCCAACCCCACTGTTTGTGGGGCTGAGCTGGCTCAAATCAGTGAAATAATTTGTGGTAAAAACAGTACGCCTCTCCCCTGCATATATATATTTTTTTTTTCCCCCTCAAAATGGTTCTTCTCATGGAAAAGTCTCACAATAATTCACCTGGCATAACCAGAAAACGGTGCAGGAGGGATGAAAGAAGGGACAGTCACAAGAAAGAGGCTGTAGTGAGGGGGGTGTTGGTCTCTCCTCCCAAGTAACAAGCGACAGGACAAGAGGAAACAGCCTGAAGTTGCGCCAGGGGAGGTTTGGGTTGGATATTAGGAAGAATTTCTTCACCCAAAGGGTTGTCCGGCGCTGGCACAAGCTGCCCAGGGAAGTGGTGGAGTCCCCATCCCTGCAGGTATTTAAAAGCCGTGTGGATGTGGTGCTGAGGGACAGGGCTTAGTGATGGGCTTGGCAGTGCCAGGTTAACGGTTGGACTCCATGACCTTAAAGGTCTTTTCCACCCTAAATGGTTCTGTGATTCTGTTCTACAAGAGGAGGAGCCGGGGAGCAGGTTTCACTGTTGAGGCTTCCTGTTGTGAAACCCCAGCTCTGCTAAAGTAGCGGCGCCTGGAGAGCTGCCTGGCAGCTTGTAAAAATTCAGTTCCCCTGTACCCTGCATCAGGGAGTGGGAAGCAAATTCATTTTGCTTGTTAGCCACATGCTGTGGTTGTAATGGAGCACCCGAGCGCTCAGTAGCTGTCCTCCTCCAAGCTCTGGGAACTTCTTGCCTCCCAAGAGGAGGGCTTGCCGCCCTCATCGCCCCTTGGCTGCCCTGATGTCCAGTCCCCACGCGTCACACCTCTGTATTTGGGCTCTTAGGGATCATCTGCAGCTGACTCTGATCGTGGCCCCATTTTTGTTCTGTGCTCTCTCCACCAGAAGAAGGCTTGCAGGAGGGAGAGCCCCACGCTGCAATCCACTCCCCAGGCTGGGAAACCTGAGGAGGAGTGCCTGAAACACAGCTTGCCTGACGTTTTGGAGTTAAGAACTTCCACAGGAGTTGCCCGGTCCACTTCTCTCTGCCCGTCATCGAGTGTCCGTGCCCCAGACAGCGATGCCTCAGGCAGCTCCCTGCCCAGGGCTCCCCACAGCGTGGCCAAGAGCAGCCACAGCATCCCCACGCAGACGACTGGGTTGTCTCTGGGACCCTGTGACACCTGTGCCGGTGCCCAGGCCAGCCTCCACGAGGTCAGCAAAGCCATCACCAGCATCTGCCAGAGCCAGAACATCCCCTCGGCTCTCAGCAGGTTCCAGGAGATGGTGGAGGAGGCCACAGGGAGAAACACCCTCTCTGCAACGGACATGAGCTACTGGGCCTCGGAGCAGAGCAAGGACCTCTCCCGCATCAGCAAACACCTCCAGATGCTGCTGCAGCACGTCGACCCTCTGAAGTCCGAGCTGGAAGAGTCGGAGAAACAGAAGGATGAGCTGCAGAAACAGGTTGAGGACTTTTCCCAGTTGCTTCAGGTGGAGAAGGAGACCCACGCACAGCAGAGGAAGGAGGCTGAGAAGAACCTGGAAGTAAAGAACAAAGAGTATTTAGAGGCTGTAGCCAGGCTGGAGCAGGACAAGGATGACCTACGGAGAGGTACAGTGCTGTTCCAAGCATCCCCTCCCAGGCCTGTGGGTATTTGCAGGAGGAGCATGGAATCCATAGCCAAATCTTGGTCCCGCTACCATGAACAGGGCTTTTGCCACCAATTTTGGTAAGCACCGGGGTTGTCCCCCGCTCTGAGACTAACCCCAGACAGCAGGAGCTGGTTGTCCACGTCCTCTCGCTGCCTCTTCCCTGCTGAAGCACAGCACGATACAATTACTGGATGAAAAATGCTTTGGTGCGTAAAGTTTTTTTGAGGAGCTGCTTAATTAGTAGAGCTTTTGTGCTGATTTAGGGGCTGCTCTGCTGGAGGAGCGATTCTCCGCCTTAAAGGAAGAGCTGGCTGCGAAGCAGGCTGCTGTGCAGGAGCTGGGTAAGGACCCCTGGGGCTGACACGTCTCCCCCCAGCCTTGCTCTGATCTCAGGGGTGTTTTACGCCCACGTAGCACCCGGGTCCCCTAGAATCGGTCGGGTGTAGCACTACTGGGAACGGGCAGAGCACAAGCCTCCTTCGTAGCAGTGTCCGAACATCACCCAGTGCCAGAGTGGGCTTGTGCTGGTGGAGATTGAGGGGGTCGCAGCCCTCCCATCAGACCTGCCTCCCCCTTGCCAGGGCCTGTGGAGGGCACGGGGCCCCTGAAGGCCCCTTCTCTGTGAGCTTCTCCCCCTCCTGCCCAGCCTGGGTCAGAAGTGCTGTGTCTCCCCAGAGGTCACCAAGACGACCTTGCTGGAGGAGATGAGGACCACGATGGTGGCCAGGAGCCAGCTGCTGGAGCTGGAGGAGAAGGTGCAGCTGCTCACAGATCAGCGGGAGAGCCTGCACCAGGAGCTGAGCACCACCACCACCCAGCTGGAGAAGGAGAAGGCCACAGTGGAGAGCATGCTGAGGCACCAGGAGGTACGGCCAGACCTGCTCTGCAGCCCCACAGCACGCCGTGGGAGTGGGCTGAGCGCGTGGGTGCTGCTGCCCGGTGCAAGGGCCGTGGTGAGTGGGTGCAGCAGCCCGACGCAGGCTCGCCCACCCTGTGCAGTCCCTG